CCCCTGTGGGAGTGCACTGACCACCAGGGAGCAACTCCTGCATTGAGTGTCTGCCCCCTGGTGGTCAGTGCACATCATCGCGACTGGTTGTTCCAGTGACCGGTTGTTCCACTGTTTGGTCAATTTGCATATTACCCTTTTATTATATAGGATTCTTGGCACAATTTTTATGTTAAATTCTTAATTTAGAGCTCCCAGCACCACAATTGCTTTAAATTTGTACTCTAAATCCAAAAATATTTTATAAAGTTACATATAACAGTGTCTTAATTGCCGAAACCGGTTTGGCTCAGTGGATAGAGCGTCGGCCTGCGGACTGAAAGGGCCCAGGTTCGATTCCGGTCAAGGGCATGTACCTGGGTTGCGGGCACATCCTCGGTAGGGGATGTGCAGGAGGCGGCTGATCGCTGTTTCTCATCGATGTTTCTGACTCTCTATCTCTCTCCCTTCCTCTCTGTAAAAAATCAATAAAATATATTTAAAAACAACAACAACAACAACAACAACAACAACAACAACAACAACAACAACAACAACAAGAAAAAAAAACACAAAAAAAACCAGTGTCTTAATTTATGGTGTATAACATAATAATTTGACATACAGTCAAACTTCAGTTCTCAAACATATCCCATCTTGAACAATTCAGTTCTTGACCAAGTTGTTCACAGAAAAAATGTCTGGTTGTTGAACCATGCTTCAGCTATTGACCTGACAACCCTTCCATTCATGCTGACACATCAACATGACAAGTATTTCTAAGTTCACAAAGGAGAGAATTCCAAAGTCAGTTTATCTACAGAGTCAGTTTACCTCCTGTTGTTAACATCTCAAAACTGTGCTGCGAATATTTTTGTGGGTTTTTTTGTGTGTATGTTTTTTTTTTTTTGCTTTTGTTGCTGGTGAAATGGACAATTAGCACAATTTTAAAACATAAAGAGGCAATCAAGAGTGCTAATGTTGCTAAGAGTGTGAAAGAAACAATGATCACAGGCAATTGAAGAGAAAGAAAAACTGTTGTTGATTTGGATAAATGAAAAGCAGTTAGGTGACAGCATTTTAAAGGCAGTGATATGTGAAAAAACAAAGATGCTGCATAGTGACCTCCTGAAAGATACCCCTGGAATGAATGCTGAAAGTGATTCCTTTAAGGCTACAAGGGATGGTTCCCTAAATTAAACAAAAGAAGTGTTTGTTTATAGTTTAAACAGTACATTGGACATGTACTGTATATAAAAAAGGTTAAAACAAGGAATGATGTGGGGGTCTGGAACAAATTAATTCAATTTACATTCTTTCTAATGGGGGGAAAATGATTCAGTTTTCAAACCAATCGCTTCTTGAACAGCATTCTGGAATTAATTAAATTCAAGAACCGAGGTTCCACTGTACGAATATATTGTGAAATGATTACCACACTAAATTTAGTTAACATCTATCACTTCACATAATTACACTTTTTTTTCTTATAAGAACTTTTAAGATCAGAAGTTTTTTTACCTTATAAGTTGAAATTTTGATTTTTCATGGGAAACTTTCCCCCTCTATCCAGATTTGAGATGGGGAATAAATTTCCCTTTAATTTCATGGGTTATTTCCTTTTATGGATTTCAGCTTTATGGGAAAATCTCAGTTACAATTTTCTTTTTTTTAAAATATATTTTATTGATTTTTTACAGAGAGGAAGGGAGAGAGATAGAGATTTAGAAACATCGATGAAAGAGAGACATCTATCAGCTGCCTCCTGCACATCTCCTACTGGGGATGTGCCCGCAACCCAGGTACATGCCCTTGACCGGAATCGAACCTGGGACCTTTCAGCCCGCAGGCCGACGCTCTATCCACCGAGCCAAACCAGTTTCGGCTCAGTTACAATTTTCTATCTCACTCAGGCCCTAGGCCTCATCTCTTGTCCCTCACTGAACATTCATACAAAAGCTTCAAGCTGTTTGGGGCTCTTTTCATCTCCCCAGGACATCTGCAATGTCAGGTCACACGTATATCACTCTGAGCTTCGTGTTTTCTCTGTGCTTCTAGAACATGGAAATCTTCGTTTTGTTTATCTCATGAGCAGTGCACTAAAAAGAGCAACAGGCCCTAGCCGGTTTGCCTCAGTGGTTGGAGTGTTGGCCCTCTGACTTAAGGGTCCCAAGTTCAATTCCGATCAAGGGCATGCACCTTGGTTGCAAGCTTGATCCCCAGGCCCTGCCGGGGCATGTGTGGGAGGCAACCAATGGATTTGTTTCTCTAACATCTATGTTTATCTCTGTGTCTCCCTCCCTTCTACGCTGTCTAAAAATCAATGGGAAAAAAATCCTTGGGTGAGGATTAACTAAAGGAAAAAAAAGCGCAACAAAACATGTCATTTTACCATTTCTCTAGGTGTTTGTGGTGAAAGGGTCTCTTCAGTGATCTAGTTGTCAATCTTTTTTATAACCCCTTCTAGACAAAATGGAAATAACAGGAGGTCATAGTTCAATTCCCAGTCAGGCAGATGCTCAGATTGTGGGCTCATTCCCCAGTAGGGGGCCAGCAGGAGGCAGCCAATCAATGACCCTCTCTCATCATTGATGTTTCTGTTTCTCTCTCCCTCTCCCGTTCTTAAAAAAATCAATAAAATATATTTTTAAAGGCAATTGCATTCTGGGGGTGGATCAATGTCTGCGCTTTGGCAAATTTGTGTGCAGACACCATCTTCATAGTTGGTAGCCAAGATGTGGTGAGCTCTTGGTGGAGACTCTCTCTTGGACAATACTTTCAAGGTATCATCCAAGCCTCAGTGACTCATTAGGAAAGCCACATTGATGGGTCATTGAGGCTTGGGCAAGACCTTGAAGGTCAGCTTTTGTCTGCCTTGGCTCAGGTTTACCTTTTTGTCAATAGCAGCTCAGGCTTGAAAGATCCAATGGATGCTGAACTGAGCAACAGAAAATCAAGCAAGAGACAGCATCTGTTCATTCCACAAGCACATACTGAGGGCCCACCACGGTGTTGAATGTACAAAAAAGTTCCAGCATAGGTCCCTGACTTTGCAGGGCTCACAGTCCAGGTAGGAGATAGGCATGCAAATCAGTGACTGAGATACAGGTGATAAGTTCTGTAAAGGATGCACATTAAGTTAGTAGGAGAGACGGAAAAGAGTTGGTCTAACTCCGTCAAGTGAGTTGAGGAAGGGTCAGGAAGAAAATGAAAAGAAATTATGATATTTAAGCTCCATCTTAGAGCACTTATGGCAGCGGTTCTCAACCTGTGGGTCGCCACCCTGTGGGTTGCGACCCCTTTGGGGGTTGAATGACCCTTTCACAGGGGTCGCCTAAGACCATCAGAAAACCTATATAATTACATATTGTTTTTGTGATTAATCACTATGCTTTAATTATGTTCCATTTGTAACAATGAAAATACATCCTGCATATCAGATATTTACATTATGATTCATAACAGTAGCAAAATTACAGTTATGAAGTAGCAACGAAAAGAATTTTATGGTTGGGGGTTACCACAACATGAGGAACTGTATTAAAGGGTCGCGGCATTAGGAAGGTTGAGAACCACTAAAATAGTACAACATGATATCCCAAGATTTGTGACCAAAATAAAAAAAATTTTTTTTTTAAAGAACAAAAACTCAGGTCATGTAAAGAAAAATATAAATTGCTTAGGCTAGAAGAGAGAAGAAAAAAAAGAGAGGAATGAACAGGGGTTGGAATTTTCATTGCTCTTTTAAGAGTGAGTATGCTTAGTTTTGAAGTTCTAATAGGCTGAGCAAAGACCTATAGGGGAATATTCTAGCACTTATACTTAACATTATTATTTTTATAGGAGTTTATTTGAGCCAAACTGACAACATATGCCAGGGAGCAAGATCTCAAATGTTCCCTTATATCATATAACATTTCAATGGTCTGTTTACCTGTTTGTATCCTCCACATGATTATAAACTATTATAGGCAGATAGTACATATGTCTTGTTCACTATTATAATCCTCAGTTATTGGAACAATGACTGATACTCAATAAATACTTGATAAGTGATTAACAAGTATTTGATAAGTGATACGTGAAAAGATTAAAAAATAAATCTATAGGGAAATAAATTTTGGTTCAAAATATAAAACTAAAGAATGTAATTCATAGCATTTTCCCAAATCAGGATGGGTTGCTATGTCTCTGGAGGTATTAGAGGAAATGCTAGATGACCATGCAGGATGAACGAGATCAAGAGATTTGGATGAAATGACCTCTAAGTGTTAAAAGGTCCACCTCCTCCACTATCCAGTTTGGCTCAGTGGATAGAGCATCGGCCTGTGGACTGAAGGGCCCCAGGTTCGATTCCGTTCAAGGGCATATACCTTGGTTGCAGGCACATCCCCAGTAGGGGGTGTGCAGGAGGCAGCTGATAGATATTTCTAACTCTCTATCCCTCTCCCTTGCTCTCTGTAAAAAAATCAACAAAATATATTTTTTTAAAAAGGCCCACCTCTAATGTTCTGATGATCCCATGACATTGTTGGTCTGGATAATCCTTAACAAAAATTATTCCTGATCCATAGGACAGAAATGGCCTGTGGTACACTATCAATGTTGAAGATACAATATAACCACAATCCGCTCCCTTAGATAGTACAAACACTCTGAGCCTTTAAAACATTTAACCAAAAAAGAAATGAGCCTCATGTAAAGCAGCTCACTCTAACACTGGCCCCGCTCCCCATGCCTGCTGCACTGTTAGGAGGAAACCAAAGGACAAAGGCTGTGGGTTCTGGAGTCACAATGACCAGGTCAGGCCCTGCACTTTACCAGCTAAAGGACCACAGTCAAGTCGCCTTACCTCTTTAGGCCTCAGCATCTTACTTCTAAAACTGGGATAACATTAACTTCAAATTGCTAAAGTTTTGTTCCCCCTGACTATATTAAAGTAAGGCCTCTCTTGTGGCAGTGGAAGCCATCAAGAAACATTTCAAAGTCCAGGTAAATGAAAGCACTGCTCTCATTCCTACCTTGATAGTTTTTCACAGGAGTCATCTTGTTATAATCTTCTGATAAAATAAATTCCTACAAAAAAGAAGAAAAATATTAAGCAAAAGGAAAATTTTTAAGTGAATAAATATATTTCGGTAAAACCAGATTGTATAAGGCAAATATCATCATAAAATTACATCTAATTCTATTTTGTATTTTAGTATTTTGCCAATCAACTCAGCATTTTTGTACCTCTTTAAAGTGATGCTCATAACTGTGGCTCAGTGCAATATCATAATTTTTACCTTATTAACTATGAAGTTGATCTTTTGAGTATGCATGTAAAGAAAACTGGATCAAGTTTAGAGTCATGATACTGATAAATTCTGAGATAAACCTGATGCAAGTTATTTTTCTTTCAACAGTGCTATAGCTGAAAATTTGCAAGGCTGTGGCCAGTGTACAAATAAATGTCAATCCTCTAACAGAGAAATAAATAGTTTAAAGATTTTATTTCTAATATAGATACTATTTCCTCTTATTATGATAATTTGAATGTCAAATTTACTCAAAGTAAATTTCTGCAAGACACATATATACTCTTTGAGGGGGATACATAAAAGGGAGTGTGTGTTGCACCTATTCATTAACCTCATTTCGTCTCATCAGGTAGACATTTTGTCATCTCACATCATCATGAGAAGAAGGGTGAGTACAGTACAATAAGAGATTTTGAGAACATATTCACACAATTTTCACTACAGTATTGTTATAGTTGTTCTATTTTCTTATTAGTTATTAGTGTTAATCTCTTTTTGTGCCTAATTTATAAATTCAATTTTTTCATAGGTATGTATGCATAGGAAAAAATGTAGTATACACAGGTTTGTACTATCAGCGGCTTCTGGCATTCACAGCGGGTTTTGCAGCATATCCTCTGCAGATAAGGAAGGACTACTGTATCACAGAAACATTCATATGTTGATTTTCTCTTTAAATTAAGAGTTATTTAGAAAAAATTCTTATTTATAAGCAGTTATATTTATGGTTATCTTTTGTAGCTAATTTTTAGTGTTACTGGCTTATATTGAGAAAGCATTTTTATTTTTTAAAATGTAATAAGATTGTATTAATGGTCAAGATATTAATGATTTTGAAAATGTTCTGTAGATATGAGAAAAGTGCTTTTTATCCAAAGTTCATGATCTATTTGTATATCTATTTAATGAAACTTGATGATACTTTTCAAATATTCAATATTTTTACTATTTGTCTACTTGAATTTCAATTTCAGGAAGATATATTAAAAAAAATGGGCTTTATTTTTAGTGTTTATTATTCTGATTATAAAAGTAACTAGAGGCCCGGTGCACAAAAATTTGTGCACTGGGGGGGGGGGTCCCTCAGCCCGGCCTGTGCCCTCTCACAGTCTGGGACCCCTCAGGAGATAACGACCTGCTGGCTTAAGCCTGCTCCCGGGTGGTAGAGGGCAGGCCCAATCCCTAGGTGCAGCCCCTGGTCGGGCTTAGAGCAGGGCCAATTGGGGAGTTGGGGTGCCACCCCCTGATATGCACAGAGCAGGGCAGAT